CCCCCCCACCCCCCACCCCCGTGGGGAGACAGCTGCATGCAGAGAGCAGTGTTCTCCCTTAGAAAGAAGGGCTCTGCTCTCTTCAAAAGGCAGGCGATCACTTGGGCCTTAGCTGGGGGAGCTAGTTAGGGTTAGGCTGTCTTGCCAGAGTTGAAAGTATAGCCCCAGATGCTAGCAGACATGACTGGATGTTTGTGTTGGCCTCTGTCCCGAGTTCGTTTGTCTTCTTTCTTCGTGTTCCCCATTTCTCCCTCTCTCTCCTCCTCACGACCTCTTTTTCTCTGTTGCTCAGCTTGTTCACTTACTAGACAGCTCAGCTTTTGATGCACATTCTTCTAAGTACCTGCTTTATATTCCAAGTCACAGCTTTTCATTTTTCTCTCTCTAACCACCTGCATTTGGGCTGGTGGAGGGATTTCTATAATAGCCCTCCAGTAGGTAACGGGTAAATTCCATTTTTGAATCTTCCTCTTCCTAAAGCTAATAGGGTTCCCCAAAGTTCCCCTATCCATGCATATGTACACACACGTGCGTAGATAACTGAACTGTTACTGAATATTGACAGTACGGAGCTGCTGATGGGCTTATTTTCTCCCTTCTGGTGTTTCCTTCTCTCAAATAAAATTTATGCACCAAAGAAACTTACAGGTCATATCCAGGTAAGGATATAAACCCTGAAAATGTTCAAAATGTTTTGTCATACTGATACTTGGTTAAAATGGATGTTAATGGCAAATATTTAAGGAAAGAAGCTGTGATCCTGGTTGTTCTCCGGAACCAAAATGCGTGAAAGTAGTCATTTATTCAGACAATAGAGAATGATGGGGACTGGGGTGAGCTGCGAGTATAGATCCTGTCAAGGTCATCAGCCACAGCCGCTCAGTGCCAGCTGACCTCTGCCATGCATGAAAGACTCCATGCTGCCAGATCTTCTGGTTCTTCCAGAGAAGCCAAAATAATCAGATTTTTAAATATTCTATTTGTTTTAATGTTGCCCAGTAATTAAAACTTCCGAGTCTGTGTAGGACAGACACACATCATGTCTTTAGACACAGATGAAACTCTACAGTGGATGCAGAGAGATAGGGGAGTCAGGGTGAGGGGGTGGAGAAAGACAAAGGAGGAAGAGAGCCAGAACAAGAAATATTCTGCATACGAGGATTTCCAAAGAGGCCATGTAATATTTAGAGACATTCAAGTGCATGGATGAAAGGCTTGGGGCTGGTTTTAACTACCTATACCAGGCAAAGCTCTTTCTCCTTTTGTTTTTTACTTTCTTGCTTCGTTATCTGCGCCCACCTCCTCCCCACGGCAGACAGGAAGCTGGAGTGTCCCCAAGAGGGCACTCACTGCTTCCTTGTGCCCCAGCCCCAATGTCGTGCCACTTTTGGGGAGTGCTGGATTCTTCTAGAAAGCCTTTCGGAACTGAGTAATGCCAGCATTACTCAGGTCTGTCCCAGGCAGGGAAAGCTCAAAAGAACCTTCCTGAACTTCCTGCCAGAGCATAGGTCATAGCAGTCATTGGGTCCATGCCTAGAACTACCTTAAGGGAGGGATAACTTCGGGGCCTCCCCGGGTTGGCTCTTGGTAACGTTTAGGACTCAGCTTTGCTAATGGAGAAACTTGACCCACTTTTTATGCTTCATTTCCATGGCTTCCTGGTGAGTAACCTTCCTATTTTTCTGGGCAGTGAGTCCAGCTTTTTATAAAGGTCAAAGTTCCAAACTCAAAAAAACAACAGAAATAAATCAGGCCAGAGGGCTAGAGGCCAGGGCAGCCTTCCTCCCCGGAGGCCGGGGACAGACCCTGGTGCCCTGCCAGCCTGACCTGCCCCTGCCAGCCTGCCGTCTCCCAGCCCTGTGCAGTGGAGCGCAGCATCCAGGAAGAGCTGAGGGGACCTGGGGGTTGGGGGGGGCGCAGTCGTCCAAGTCCCTGCCCCAGGGCCTGTGGGAGCTACAGCTTGGCTTTTTCTTAAAACATCTTGGGGCTTGTATTTCCTAAGTTTTATTGGAGTCACATTTGCTCCTGTGCTTAGGGCATCCATTGTAAAACACATTTCAGGGGAGGAGGCAGAAGCTGCTAGATGACAGTGTCAGGAAGATGCTGAGGATTTTACGACAATGGGTGATGCCTTTGCAAGGGAGCACTCCCCCTGGTGTGGACAGGCTCCCTCAGGTTACCAGGTCACCATCATGCTGAGGCTGCAGCCCATGCCCCGCTTCCTCTTCTGGGTCCCCAGCCCGGGCACATCCCTCTCCCGAGGGCTGCAGCTTGGTCCTGTAAGTGCTGTTCTGACGTGCACACGGTCCTCTTCGCCCTTCCCCCCGCCTTCTTTCATAAATCTTCTCCCAGCCTCTGGGAACAGTTTGATTCAGGTGAGCACAGTTTTTAAATTTGAAGTTCAGTGGAGAATTGTGACCGGATGAAACGCGACATGATGGTCCGTTTTAGGGTCCGGGCTCGCTTGCTAGGATGGCTCGTCTGCCCTGGGGGTGACCCTTCCGCACCCACCTGTGGGCACCCTGTGACCTCTAGAAAGTGGTAACTCAGTGTGGCAGGCAAAGCCTTCTGCAGCAGTCCAACGTTGTTCAGGCTGATGAAAGAAAACCCAAGCAAATGAGCATTTACAGCTGTGTCCCGCCTTAGCCTCCATCTGATCATTAGAATTAAAACATTTCAGATTCACTGTTGATCCTAGACTCTTAGCCTACAGAACCATGACTGAGGCCCTTAGGAGCCCAGGAAAACCCCAGGAGGGTTGGAAATGACCTTACTGTGCAAAACACGTCCCTCTAGAGCCGTTCATTTGTCTAAAAGCAAAACAAACCAGAACCTTGACCATGATGTTCACAGACCGCGTGTTTGTCTTCAAATAAAGCACACAGAGTGCCTGATTCTCAGATATAAGTCTGAGAATAAGGTGCCAGTAATGAATAAAGCGAATAGCTCCTCCCGTCTGTGAAGCTGATGCCCCGTACCTGCGGGTGGGCACTGCTTCAGCTCCTCTTGGGAATGAAGCCGAGAGCACACCGAGAAGTGACCATGTTATGTCCCTGTGCCGGCTGGCGAGTCCCCGGCCTGCCAGTGACGGCTGTTCCTCCCCTCCTGGGCCTCTATTCCCCGCGATGTGCTCATGGCTAAGGTCAGGGAGGGGGCCTGTCTTCATTAGAGGTGGTCTGAGGATAGTTGAACCCCTTCTGGCAAATTTTCTGTAAAAACATGCACAGTGTTTTAGGCTTTGCAGCCTCTGTAGCAATGCCTCAGCCAGAGGCTATGTGAGCACATGGCCGTGACTGTGAATGTCGTTTCTGAAACAGGCAGCAGCCCACGCTGGCCCCCTGGACTCTAAAATCCAATCCTGGTTCTGCCATTTATTAACCAATCGCCCTCCTCCCTGCGCCCGTTCCCTGAGAAGCAGCAGTAGTTACTGAGTAGTGTCCAGAGTGAATTAAGTTGTCAATAAAGCTGCTCTAAGGGCAGACTTCTTATGCTTACACAAGCGCTCCCTCTCCGCCACCGTCGTTGTCATCACCATCATGTTTTGCTACAGACAGAGGGTTGTGGAGAGGACCTTTTTGAACCCTCTGGACCTTCCCTAAAAGGCATGAATTTCTGTGCTGAAATCACACTCAGAGGCATGGGCGTGATCATCCTGCTGTCCAGTCTCGCAGTGAAATAGAGCCCTACCCGTGAGAAATTTATCATCTTCTATGACACTGATGCAGAGGGCAAGTGTACCCTCATTTACACTTAGAGGGATTTCTGGAGCACAGTGTTTCTGACAACTGGGAACTCTGTAGCCGTTTGGATCTCTGGACAGAACTTGGTTCGGTCCCTCTTAGACTCAGAAGGGAGCACATCTGAAAGAACTGTGCTCTAAGCCCAGCCAAGATTGAGCCTGTCTGTAAGGATAACCAGCTAATGACTCATGGGCACCGTGGGTTTAGTGCCGCCTCTATTGCCATGATGGTCCCATGTTTCTATGGGAGACACTTCGCTGTTTGGCTCTTACACGAAACCCAGGATCTGGCTCATCGGCGTCTTGAGCTATGCCCAGGAGTTACGCAGGACAGTCAGCTTCCCACCTGGCCATATCTTTCCTCCTCCAAAACAACCCCAGAGGCTGTTCTAGTCACCAGTCATTGCCTTGTTAGAGAGCTTGAGCATCTGGGGGCTGTGTTTATCTTTTACCCGTCACTTGATTCTTCCCCTGAGTTATTTCAGCCAGTCTAAATCCAGAGCCGGGGTTGTCCTAGGGTCAAGAACACTGAAAGGTGTGTAGGGGAAGGTGAGGCTGTTAGAGGTGGCTGGTCCTGGTTCTGCATCCACCGCTTCCTTCCCAGGTCTCCTTCCCTCCTCTCCGACGCCCTCCTCCTCAGATGCACAGCTTCTCTCCTAGATGGGGGCCCTCTTCCCTGGGGATTTATTAAACAAGCTCTTCTTCTGCAGTCCTGCGGTGTGTAGAGATGTTAAGCCAAGGGCCAAGGGCCCCGGCCGTAACCCAGGCTCCCCTCAGCCAGTCGCCCCTGAAGATGACCCAGGAGTCGCTGGACATCATTGCCTTCCTGTTCCCGCTCGCCACCGGGTGAAACCCAAGTGCCCTGTGGTTACTCCAGGGTCGCAGCCACTACTTCCAGCTTGTCCTTTTCAGCCACTCCTGGACTC